TGCCAGGGTCTTCGCACGCTTGGCGGCCGCGAAGTCGATGTCCAACTTCTCCTGGCGAAAGCTTTGGTTGGCTCATGCGGACAATCCAATTGATAGAAGTATGAACACTCGCCATGTAGTGGCCGCTATCCCTGAAGATTTCTGCAAAAAATCCTGAAAGCTCTCATGGACATGGAGTGAGTGCCCCACCGTCTTCTTTGGTGCCCCACCGGGCCAAAAGGTGAGTCACATGGTAACAGATCACCTGGTGCCCCCCGCTGCAGCTGGAAATTCATGTTCCGAAGGAGAGAAGCCATCCAGGTTGGCCCATGATGATTTCAGGGTTTGGTTCGGCCCCGTTTCCCCCTGCGTGCAACGGTGGATCGGGTCCCTGCCATGGACAGCCCGTGCGGATTCTTAGGGAGGGACCAGAAACAAACATAACACCCCAAGAGCTAAGCCTCCAAGAGCTTCGTAGGCGGAGTGACCTTTTCGTAGGCACTAGGTGGCATCTGCCCACCAAACCCTCCGAGTGCCCTGAAGAATCGGACTCCCTCCGAGTGCCCCCCGTGAGACAGGAGGCCCGAGGTCTCAAGACACCCGAGGTCTCAAAAACTGGTGAGCTTTTGAATCGAATGCGAGGATGTGCGCTTCATCCCCCACCTGTGATGTGCGCTGCGCATGATGCGGTGCAGCTTTAAAAGCGACCAACTGGCAGGGGGGGGTGCAGCTGAGGTGGGTAACTTTGCCCTTGATCAAGCTGAATCACTCAAATACCTGAAAGAGGTCAAGTGCAATGCAGCTAGGTTCCTTTTCGATGTCAGAACTCTTGGCATTTCCAAAGCCAGAGCTGTTTGCACGGGGAAGATCGCAAACATGAACATCATAATTCTTCCCGGATTAAAAAAACACACATCTTTGTTTGCCTCGGTTGCGGGGTAAACATGGCAACCTCAGCCACATGTTCACCGGAAAGAGTTGCAAGACCATCATAGCAAATCTCCCTATGACATCTATGACCTAAGAATCAGGGCCCGAACGAACAGATAGGGTGATAGGGTGATAGGGAACCGGCCCCCGGACATCCCCCCTGTGTGCAACGGTGGAGAGGGTCCGACCCCCGAGGTGCGGAGTTAATCGGGTGACCTTCATCCAATCGTCTGATCTTAAGGTCTATCTGATTGTGTCAGACCTCCACCGCGACTTCTTCTCCTCCGTGGCAACCTGCAAAATACTACACCTCTGAGACAAAACGGGTCTGAAGAAATGAGTGAATTAAGTGAGCGGCAGCTTGGCACTGAAAATCCAATTGTCAAACGTTGACCTGGTCCACCTGTCAAACTGTTGAACATCTGTTGAAAAGACATGAACCCTGCAGTTGGTTCCTTATACTTGGTTTCCACCTGGCCAAACCTTGCCCATACCACTCCACGTTTTAACGTGTTGCGCCTCTTTTCTGCATTTGCTTGAGGAACCTGCAAAAAATAATTCCCCCTCAAAGGGGTTTTACGCATAGATATAAGTATACATAAATAAAACTAAATCATCTTCAAGAAAAACTCCGTTGTTCTTCAGGTCTACCCCTCCCAGCGACCCCAACCGCCTCCCGTCCTCAAACTCGTCCTTGGTGACGTGCCCAGTGTTGTCGGCGTCCATCTCCGCCCACAGAATCATCCGATCCGCCTCGTTCACCTCATGGCGTGGTTCGCCGTTTTGCCTTTGTGTTTTGCGGGCGCGTGGGCGGAGAGAACGGAGATCATGAGCTGAAAAAAGGCTAAGAATACTGGAGAGGAGCATAATCCCATAGATCTGCCATGATCTGCCAACCATGCAAACAGTTTTCTTTGGCGGGCGGTATGAACCATGAAAGGGCCATTTTGCTGCTTGCAGGTCTATAGGCAGACTTATTTTGGGTGGTTGACCTGGCGTTAAACGTGGAGTCTCAGCGGATTTGCCAAACAATCTTGCAAGACTGGACGTGGTTGACCTGGGGTTCTTGCCTGCGCCGGATGGCTAAGGAGACAGATCTGGCAGTTCCCAACCAAGGAGGCTTCTTCTTTCGGCTTCGCGCGACGTTCCTACGGCGGGAGAACCAAACACGCGGTGGCTGGGCGTCCCGGCGCCCAGGAACTTCAAGACGTATTCGAAGGACTTGGCCTTCAAGGTGGGCGGGTCCTCCGCCGGAAGCCTGAGAAGTGAGAAGAAGCCGGAGAGAGGAAGGTACAAATAGACGCTGAAGCGGGTGTCCAAAGCTGCCAGGTGTGTGGTACAGTGGTACAGTAGCATCAAAGGGAGTGTACTTTCTGAATGGGGAGCCTGCGAGCATCATCCAACTGCTGCAACTATAGTGTTGATGAGTATTATCTTGTTCATGCAAATGTAGGTATACCCTAGGGCTCCAAATACCTTCTCAGAAGGTGGGACTGGGGTGGGTTCAGAGGGTCCAGATACCGAACCTGAGGAGGTACGACTGGAGCCCTAGGGATATTGATCTGGAGATGCCATTTATCGCTCCACGGAGCACCTTGGAAGGTCGACTTCGCCATCCACCAGTGGTTTCTGTTCGCCATCTTCTCAGCCAAGCAACCCACTCTCGTTGCCCTGCTCGCAGAACCATCTGGCGCCAAGGTTCGAGACGCTTCGGTAAAAAACATGACGTGTGTGTGGGATAGTGTGGGATAGGGATAGATCTACCCTAGCCCTACACCTCCAGTCGTACCTGATCAGAAGGTATGACTGGACCCTCCTGGCACCCACCCCAGTCCCACCTTCTCAGAAGGTACGACTGGAGGCCTGGGGTAGAAGTGCACTTGAACCCCGAGCGTTCCCATTGTTTGACGACGGATTCTACATGATGGATACCAACCAAATCCACCATTTGAAGAACGGTCGAACGGACTTCCAGAATCTGCTTTGACCAAAAACAACAGAGGTTGAATGACCTGAACTAGTCTATCCCATAGGTACCCCAGGCTACGGGTCCTAGTTCAGGTCACGTTCCACCTCTCTTGGACAACAACCGCCGCAGGCCCAAATAGCTCCGAGGGTCGGAAGCTGGACTGCTGCGACCTCCGACTCACTACGGGACAATGGCCGGATGACCATTCTCCTACAAACAGGTGGTTTCCACTTCCATGTTAGTGAGTCAAAGGGTAAGCCGGGTAAGCTAGCTGTGGTTCTTTCAGTTTGTCTACAGAGATGCAGGACCTTCCAACCAACGGCAGCCGTCCCCACTGACAGCCATTGACAGCCGCAGGACCTTCGAAGCGTTCCAATCTTTGTCCAATCGTTCCTCCCTCTCTCAGCTCCTTCCAATCCCCACCCACCTGAAAGCTTCTTCCGTGGTGGTGTTCGGCATCTTCCTGCCACAGCCCAGGCTGCTGGAACAAAAGCAAAGCAGGTTGGTTCTTAGATCTATCCAGTGAATGGGATGGGCATCTCTTCCTCTGAATAGCCACCCCCCATGTGGGGAACTCCTCTGAGTGTTGAGGAGATGGGAAGAAAATGCTGGCTATCATTGCAGGTCTGTGGCTTGCAACCTCTCAAGCACTTTCGAAGGCTGCGGAGTTCCGTTCCGTCTCAAAGTCGAGTCATTTTGGAGCTCAGCTGACTGGTGCTTCATCTCAGCAAGCTCTGTTCCGCCCCCCAAGCCCCCAGGAACGAACGTCAGTGTTCTGGCAGTCCGCACTGGTTTCGGGTCCTGAGCAGCTTGTCCGCTATGTTCTGCCAGGTGGTGGAAGGCCTTATTTCAACGGCGGAAGCAGGGCAGGTCTCCATCTGGAGCTGGGATTCTGGTTGTGATACAAATCTGGCGGGCTCTTCCTGTGCAAAAGCAAAGTTTTCCACTTCCTTGCTATAGCTTAGTGGGTGGAGTTAGAGTTAGAGGGTCAAACATCATGCGGTGGCGAACGAGCCAAGATCGGACCGCAGAACATGGTCTTAGCGATGCGTCATGCATCTACTGTCTCCATGGTGTTTGTGAATGTGAGTTGGTTGGACCCCTTTAACCAAGCTCTGTTCATTTGAGTCCATTATTATGAGCACACGAGTCGACCAATCTGACTTGCTGGGGTTCGGCCACCAAGCAGCAAACCAAAGCAACAAGCAAAGTCTTCATCTGCCACAATCATGTGTATAGGAAATTCAAGAAGAAGCTTGAAGAAACATGAACATGAGCAGTCAGAGTCAGTGTGTTCTGGCTGAACATGGCTGAGCTCTTGGGGGTACGCGTACGAGACTCCCACGATCGTGATACCTCCTCCAAGAGACTCCAACTTGAAGACACGCACCATGGACTGCACCAATGTGGTGAAGGCCTGCACCACATTGGTCGTCTTTTGGGAACTGAATGCCCGCTTGGCAGCTCTGCAGGGGCTGAGCGGTTTAACATGTTGATTAGTCCTATAGTCCATCATCTATGACTATCTATGATCTTTCTCGTAGCCCTGCCACAAAACGCACAAAAAGGCAACCTAACTCCTGAAAAAGAAGAGGAACACTGCCATGGGCTCCCCAAACAAAGAAGGAAAACAAAAACATGCACTGTAATGATACAAATCGGAACACCATTCTCCTCACCAAACAGTGGCAAGATAGTGTAAGTCAAAGCATGTTCAAACCATGTTTATACATGTCCCAAACACTCCATGTATGCCATATAATATATATATATATATATTGCCGAACCCCTGGCACCACCCCAACTGATCGGCATATATATATATATATATGGCAGTCCCATGGAGTGTCTGGGTGTTAAAACACGGTCGTCTTCGGGATGCGTGCAGTCTTCACGCGATGTCACCCCATGTCACCCCGAGTTCTTCAGAAAACAGCTCGCAGCCGCCTCTGGATGATCATCTCGCAACAGCTCGACCGTGTGATACGGGAGCACCTCGGAATCGCGGCATCGCCGGCTCGTGCGCCGAGGTCGGGGCTGGGACCCAACGGGTGCGACCGGAGGATTCAGAGACCTGAGCCCTAAGGTGAGCCATATGCCATGCACCCCAACTTCCAAGGCCTCAGGGCCTCAGGGCCTCTTCTGGACCTCCATGAAAAGCCAAAGAATGGTGCAGATTTGCCAGTTGCTGGGATGATCTCAAGCTGGCCAAATCTTCTACTATAGCTGGTGCATCCTCCTTCCATCCCTCACTTGCTTTGCCCACGTTTGACTCTCCATCCCCCAACTCCAAAAAGGTGCCGGTCGATCGAGGTACCGAGAGCACGCAATAGGTCTTCGCCATGATCCAGGCAGCACGCGGACGTGCGGTGAGCATGCCCAGCTCGCCAAAGTACTTCCCAGCAGTGTATTCCTCGGTGCTCGGCCCCCGGAAGCGCCGCGGCTGTGGAGACACGGCGCGGGTTGGGTGAAGACACGAGTACGGGCGAGTCGGTGCTGTGAAGAGGTGCCGTGAGGAAAATCTTGGGAGGAGTCCCAGCTGGTATGAGACATTTAGTGAGACCCTTTGGATGGTGAGTTCGAATAGAACTGGTGGGGGCTGGCAGCGAAGATTACAGAAAGTGGTCCAGCCTTCAGCCTTCTGTGATGCTGCTATGTTTTTCCTCAACCCTCAGGCTTTTTCTATGTTTTCGTCTGTTTTCTTCCTCTCTCTCTCTCTCTCTGCGAAGGTCAAGATCTACAATAACCGCATCTCTGTTGACTGGCCGTGGAAGAAAACATGCGACATGCGATGAAAACTGGGCTTCGACACTGGTCCCAACCACCTTCCACTAGGATCCTTTTGGGAAGAAAGACTCCGTTGCGCGGTGCTCTTCCATTTAGAGCACACATCGGAACCAGTCAGAATGGAAGAAAAGAAACAACATCTCAAACCTCCGGAACACCAGAGGTGCTGAACCAGCCTTCCACCGGGGCCTTCGACCACTTGCACCTTCTCTCTCCTCGCATCGCTGCACTTGCACCGCGCGTTCTCTCTCCTCGCCCAGTCACGGCCACCTCCGTGGACTCGCCCATCACCGGCGGGCACTCCGGGCCACTTGGATAGACGCCTCGGTCCGTCCGCTGAGTCGGAGTCACGGTGGGGGGTGGGGGGGTGGTCCAATTAGCTGAAGTGGTGGTCTAGCTGATGTGGTTACTAGAACAAACATGCACCGACTACTTTATTATATACTCATTTATGCTATATTTTATATAGTAATTGGGTTTTACAGTCGCTAAGTGTCCCCTCTATTCATCCACCCCATGGGTAAAGGATGTAAAAGGTTACCAGTTGGGTTCAGCTGCTGCTCCAAATCTCTCCAGGTCCGTGGCGTCCGGATCTGTCCGGCCCTGCCTGCCACGCCACGCCGCATAAAGAAAAGCTCTCTCCCAGTATCACCTGAAGTCCAAGGATCTGAAGAATCTGGGTCCAAGGATCATGGCTGCTGTTCTGCCATGTGTCTGGACAGAAATTCAGATGTTCTGCACTGAATTGGCTGGTGGTGGGAAGCTAGGTCCACTCTTTGCTTCACAAACGTCCTCCCAAAAAGAGCCTCAACACTGCCTGACCATGTCATAGGGTGGGCCACAGAAGAATCCCTCAGCAAACCTCTGGAGAATAGCTGGTCACATGTTGTCACACACAAAGAACTACACAAACTCACCGCATCTCTCGGTGCCAAGGTCTAAGGCACCACTGCAAACGATGAAGTCGGCCGGCAAGTAGATGAGATCTGAAAGCGAGCTCACCATCATGGAGATGACCTCAGTCTCCAACACACACCCGGCACAACGGCACGAACCCTTCGTGAGCCTCCGATTTGACCGTCAAAGCCAGCTAAGAGTGAGTTGGTTGGGTAATCAATGCTCCAGTCGTACCTCCTCAGAAGGTATGACTCAACCCTCTAAACCCACCCCAAACACCTTCTTAGAATGTACTCGGAGCCCTAGGGACAGTTATCCTTTTTCCGGCAGGTCACTGTGCAGTTGGTTTCTCACCCTCAGACCTGCACCACAGCCAAAAAGCTTGCCTTGCACATGTTCCTCATCCCAAAAGACTCCTCCCAAACTCTGGATGTTACAACCAACATGCCGCGCCACGTGCTTCTTCTGCTCCCGCAAGAAGGGTGCTTTCAGAATCAACTTCCGATACGCTGCTAGTCGAAGCTCCTGTCTGTTTTCGCGCGTGTTCGGAGCCGGAGGCAGTGGCGGCCACACATGATCAAGGTCTCACTGGTTGCTGACCATCTCACTCCTGCCTGAAATGCTATTCCCTAGGGCTCCAACCATATCCTCAGAAGGTGGTTAGACCCCCCAAACCCACCCCAACCATCTTCTCAGGAGGTGGTTGGAGCCCTAGGGATTTATCATGTTGAGTTCATGATGGTGGCCATTTCGGGGTTACGCCACCGGGAGCACACCTATACCTTAGCTACCTACATTTGGAATTTGCGGCACTTTTTGGAGTTATGACCTTTGGAGTGCAATTCAGGGACATGTCAGTCACTCAAAAAACCGGAACCCCCGACGAACGTTTTCCAAACATCAGCAGATTCCCAAAAGGGTTGAGTAGGGAAGCCTCAGCCTCACCCCCCAAACGGCATCAAGTCGCCGGCTTTCCAGAATCAGGCAAGGGACCCAAACCAAAACAGAAACCCAACCGGTTCGTGCGGAAAATCCGTTGCGATGATTCTGTTATGTGAGACCTCCCAATCTTGGACCCTCCAAAAACTCTCCGCATCCAGGACTTCCTCACAAACACACACGCACACAGTGCATATCATACACTACACTCACTATACGTCTTCACCACGCGGCCCAAAATGGCTCTGACCCCCTACTTCAAAAGGAAGGCTCTCCACTTCAGGCCGGTCCTGCATCAGGGGCGCCGACAGGCCGTGGAAGGCCGGCTGATCCAGGTCTTCTTCCCGATGCACGTGCTGCACGAAGCTCTGATATGCTAAAACCTGAGCGGAGCCGGTCCGCGACGGAACCGGAATCCGCGACGGAACCCGCCCCTAAGGCGGTCTCCGCGGGTCGGTGGGTCCAGAGTCCGGCGTGCGAAGCGATGGTTCTGGGCCAAGGCAAGTGAGAAGTCCAGAGCCCAACAAGACTGTGAGCCTTGCGCACCTCTGCGCGTCTGGGAGGGTGAGAAGGGCTGTGAACTGGTGGAATCGATCGGACTGACCCAGCCCATAATAGACCGGTCTTCAGCCATGCTCCACCAATGCCGGACCAAGCTGATTCGTTCAGCCCATGACTTGAGGCATGGCCAGAGTGGCCTCAAGGGGCCCATCAAGTGGCCCATGAGAGTCTCAACCCCCCTCTATAGGGTCAAAAATGCTGGCTATGAGGGTGCAATAGGGTCCAACGCCATCCAACTCCCGGCTGTTCTACCTGCTGTGTAGGACTCTCTCCCCCTCACCAGTGGTTCCACCCAGTTGCCCGCTCGTGCAGCTCGCTTGGGACCTCGGAACCAGCGCCCAATTTCCAAACCGGGTTCCCGGTGGACTACGCACAACCCAAAGCACTGAAGTCTTCGGATGCTTGGGTGTGGCACATGAGGAAACGAACAGATGGTGACACCGTCGAACGACGGTCGTACGACCCAGGCGGCCGGCGCGGCGGCGCCGAACAGTCCAGTCAACGAGGGATCCTGTGTGGGTCAACACAGTCGAGACTGCGGTGACTCTGGAGGTTAGCACTTGGAATTGGTTCCATGAACATCCATGATCGAACTATATAGTTCCCGCAACATTCATTCCGAAACAATTTAGGGGAAACTGTGGAAGGTCAAAAGACATCTGCAATCCTGAAGAACCTTTGACACTGCAGGCCTCAATTCCAAGGGTTCACTGCTTCAACTCTATCGGATGGGTACCAAACCTACTGGAAAGGGGCAGGCAAATCAACTTCAAAACCTCCATATTGCGTCTCATGCTTGAGTGACCATATACCAGGACCCACTGTCGGGGTGGTGTGGTTGAAGGACACCCCTTAACCTTTAAGGAGCAAGGTTAGGGGCTATCAATGGAAGCCCCCAGTTCCGGTGTCCTGGTGTGACCATACACTCCGGAACCAAACTGCCTGCTCTTCGGCTGTCATGCTCCAAGCTTCGCGCTGCCACCGAGGTCTACCGTGGATTCTTGGAGGAATTCTCGACCCGGGCCCCCTACTGTATAGGTTAGGTAGGGGTGTCTAATTACAGCTCCTTAGAGGTCATGAGATGGTTAATGGGTGTATAGGTTAGGGGTGTCTCTGAACACCACCCCAAAGCAACGCTTCGATGGATTTCCGTCCTCTCCGCCGAGAGCGGGTTTACCCCGGTGACCCGACCGCTGGCCTGGAGGTGCTTGAGGGCCACCGAGGTTTGAGCCTTCTGTGACTGGTTCCTTGAGCCCGGAAACGGAGCCGGTTGGACGCGCCCAAGAACGACGGAGCCGGGGGGGTGCACTGGCAGGGGTGGTTTTTTTTGGAGGGGCACAGCAGTGAAACTGGACTGTGCAGGACAAAGAGATGAGAGATGCAAGGGTGTTTAAGGAGAGAGTTTTTTACAAAACGGAGGCTGTATCCAGCACAAACTAAAAGAGCACTTATATTGGAGTTATCTATATGCAGGACGCACGGCGGACACACCCTTTTCCACTGAACTAAGGGGGAGGCTTGTGCCATAGGTACCAATCGGAGAGTACTAGGGACACACAATCTATACAACTTGCATGCCCGTGTCAGTTCCGCTCTAAGGAACTGAGTGTGAGTTGAGAGACAGGAGTTGAGCGATTTTTGCTCGTACTTCACTTCCCATCAATCAAACACATCTTTTCCTTGCTGTTGACGTTTGCGTCCAGAAAACATGAGCTCATCATGAACAATCTTCCATCGTTGACCTAACTGGACAAATCGGCACATTTGTATATCCTCACCTCGCTTAGTAATGCTGTTGGCAAGCATGGCCTGTGAGTTAACCCACCTAACTCTCAAACCAGTCTCCTGTTGGGATTCCTTCAGAGTGATCAGTTCCAAGTCGATGCGTTTTTGAGCTCCCTTGGGAGTGATATATGGTTTGTCAACACGATCAAACACATTGCGGCTATCCGTAATCAGGGTTCCACACGTGCGAGACACATGCTCATAAATATTATGGCTGTCCGAATCATACCCCATGATTTCCGACCATTGATACCGAACCAAGAACAAAGTGTCTTCGGCGTCGATCGCGGCTCGCGCTTCAGCTGACCCTGGGGACCGACACACACGTTCGATTTTGCCGCTCTGCCAGAAGATAGGCGACACTCGATCGACCTCTCCTAACCCCAACTTTTTCCCCGACATCCCAATGAAAATTCCCTTCGTGCTGCTACCATCATGTCTGTTTTGAGAACTCGCATCAACCCAACAATAGAACTGAGGTTCTTCTTGGGGCTCAAATGGGAATATGTGCATGGGATCTTTCGCTGCCAACCGCATCTTGCACAAAAGACCATTGACATCAAGGAGCGTCTGTACAGTGCTGGTGTTCACCTCGGACAAAAACAGACTTGTGTATGCGACAAATCTGTATCCAACTTGGTTAGCATGCCAGCTCAGTGCTCCAAGCAGACCTCGTAATTCGGTCTTCTCTTCAGGAGTTGTCTCCTCTTTAATTTGTTTCTTTCTTTCTCGGGCGATTCGAATTTCTTGAACATCGCCCAAGTACTTGGTTTGTTCTAGAGAAAATCCACCGGATGGTGTGCTTTGCACATGAACTCCACACTGGACAAAATCATTGCATTCCCACTCCTGCCACTTAAATTTTTGTTGTATGGCTTCCTGGAGTGCTGTCCATTCAGGAGATTCAATTCCGGTGAAGAGGAAGTCGTCAACATGTCCCGAAATGAGAGCTAGTGTTTCACCTGCTCTCTTGTATCGCCACATACAAGGGTCGCTTTTGAGCTGCGAAAAACCCAGGCTCTTGAGAAACTGGTTCATGGTTTCAAACCACTCTATGGGGGCCTCAACTAAACCATAGCAAGCCTTGCGCATTTTCACCACACTTTGTGGTGCTAGGTTCATGGCTTCGCAGATCTCGACCGTCGGAATGAGGTACAAGTCCCGGCTGAACTCTCGGCCCTGTAGGAATGCTGCAGCGACATCTCCCTTCTTGACTTGACAGCCATGGTTTGATGCCCATTGGATAAGCATCTGTCTGCTATGTCGGGTCATAGTCGGTGCAAAGGTCGGTCTGTGCTGGTATTCAGGGTCCATGTAACCCAGGACAACTGCTCTCGCCTTCGGCTTGGAACTACCATCTTCGGAATGCTTCCAGGTAAGTACCCATCGCATTCTCAATGCCTGGTGCCTTGCCGGTTGTAGATGTTCCGGCAAAGCCTGAAGTGCTTCTGCCGCTATGAACTTGTCCACCTCTATCTTTTTGGCACCAGCGAACTGCTCGTGTTCCAGGGCTGACAAATGACGTTCCGACACTTCCACTGAACGTCGCTTCAAAGCACTCACGAAGTATGCCACTGGATTGTTCATGAAGCGCCTCAACTTTCGTTGGTCTGTGGGCAGTTCAAGAGTCAGTTCCACCGCAGCATGTGGGTTGTCCCAAGTGGTCCGCGTGTCCGTGGTTAGCCACGCTGACTCGGGCACCAATTCTTGCCACGAGGGTCCTGTGAATAGAGCTGCATCTTCACTGCGACTTGGCTTTGGACTTCTGCTCCGGTCTTGTTGACGTGACTGTTGTTGCTTGCCCGTGACTCGTCTTCGGTTTGTAGGGTGTTCTGTGTCATCCAACTCCTCCGGCTCCACCAGAGATCGTTTGTTCTCTGAGGGTCCAGGACCAGTATGGTCTTGAAAGGAGGCTTTGTGAAGGTCTCCGGCTAGGCTGTTGAAGGTCCACGGTAGTTGTGGTGGTCTGGTGAGTTCGTGTAAGCATGTCTCCCGCATGGAGGCGGGCCTCAGTTGTTCTTGAGCTACTTTCACGAGTCGATTGCCCCGCACCAGCCATACCACACTGCTTGCACGCAGTTGACCGTGTTCTTGTCGGGTCTCCACTGCCAGGACTCTCGCTGGACCCACATAGTTGCCTCGATTCCAGGAGTTTTGCCTTTCGGCGTTCCCCAGCTGTGTTCGCCAGTAGAATACCAAATCCCCTGGAAAGAAGTCTTTGTGAGGATGATGTTTCGAGTTGCGGGCTCTGGTGAGCTTCTCCTGCACTTGCCAATCAATGAATGCTTTAGATGCCTGTTGTCGCAACTGGGAGGCAACTTCCATCTCACCATCTGGAGACTGCATCATCTCCATTGGCAGGTCAGTGGTTCGTCGATCAAATACTCGACCTTCGATGTCTGGCTGCCTACCAATGGCATGTTGAAAGGGACTATACCCTCGCACGGTTTCTCGATGGTTCCAGGTGTAGATGGCGTGTTGGATCAGCTGTGTGACGTCTTGTTCCGCATCTCCGGCTGTCTTGGTGAGAAATTCCTTCACCCACTCAATACAGCGCTCCACATGAGAAAGGTTCCAGTGTGCTTCGGCTGGGATATGGTCCAGGTGGATGCCTCGTTCACTGAAGAAGTTCAGCATCTCCTCCGATCGGAAAGCTCCCTCTGGATCAGATCTTACCACATCCGGCATGCCAAAATATGGAAACCAGTGGCTTGTAAAGAGTTCAGCGTATTCGGAGGCTTTGACTCCTTTGCCTCCGTCCATCCGCATGACTTTGCCAACCAGGAAGCGACTTGCCTCGTCCATGATCAAACTGAATGAGACCTGCTTCTTGGAGATTGGATGCTTCCAGTATGCAGTGTCGATCTGCACACTGCGCCAGCGGTCAGTGTGAACTTCCAGATTGGCCTGACGTCGAGGATCAGGCCTCTTTCTTTCGTCACACGCGCTGCACCTAAAGGACTTGGCTATGGCAAGCACATGGGGACTAACCTGTCTCCTTTGGAGGGTTTTGAGCAAAAGTTCATAACTGCCGTGCCCAGTGGCACTATGTATTTTGAACAACTGCTTCAAAATGCGATCACGTTCCTCTCGGGACACTTGCTGTTCGAGAGGGGGTGCATCGTCCCCCGCAAAAACAAATTCACTCCATTCCTGCATGCAGACATGACATGTCAGTTCTTTCGTGATTTTGTGAACACGTTTACACCAACACCCTTGCTGTCGTTTAGGAGTGTGTGTTTCCGTTTCGCATTCGCTCGCTCGCAAGACATGAACATCCGAATCGAGAACCGACATATGGTACACCACCCGTCGAACGAACTCCGGAGTGTAAAAAGCGGTCATACGAGTGGCCTGTCCCTCACACAAAGCATGCGTTTTGTTCAAACAAGCACAAGTGTTATGCAAGCGTTCCGAGAGACGACGGTCGGTGCACTCCACTCGCCATTCCTTTCCCAAGGGAACTCCAGTTTTGGGGTCCTTCAAACCGACCTGGCAACCTGAAATGATGGCGGTAGAGGTGTTGCAGTGGTTTCTCCAGTCGTCTAACAAATCCCATTTCCAAGCCCTACATCGTCGACTCCACTCCCAACACACGACCGACCCAGCCGCATGCGCCCAGTGCGCCACCACGAGTGCTCCCACGTGTTGTTTTCGGGCGTCCATTTGTTTTCGTTTCAGGGCCTCTTGCTGTTCAGGAGTCCTTTGGTTACAGTTTTGAATGGGGGAAAAGGCGCCGCACTCGGTCGCAATCCACAAAAACCTAGGCTTCTTCTCACGAATGATCTTAATGGCCTGTTTCACCCCCTCGCCTGTGCGAAGATCGTACCCGTTCCAAACAGAACAACGCTCGGCAGTGAATCCCTTTTTCAAAGCTTCAGAGGTCAGGAGTGAGTCTGGTGAACATGCGAGTTCCATCAGAAACAGCCTTGAGGCGTCGCTTACGGACGCCCAGGCCTCTGAGAGGACCAACTCGCTCGCCTGTTCAAGGGACCTAAGCTTTTGCGGCGACAAGTGTTTCCACTCGTCATGGTGGCCTAGCCATCCATCTTCACGAAGCTCCCGTCGGATGCCACCGATGTTCCAGCTCGGGGAGGCGGCGTCTTGTGGCGCTTCTTGCCCTTGAGCTCGTCGAGCTCCTCTTGCATGGCTTTCATGGTTTCCATCATGTCCTTCACTTGTTCGGTCATCGCCGAGGCACTTGCCTTGGCATCCACATCCTTGCTCGATGACCCCGCAGCAATGGCCACTGTTGGTCGACTGTTGGTGAGGGCTGGATGATAGCCGGCCCCCTGGTTCTTCACTGGTGCCTGAGACTTCTCGAGAGGATTGTGTTCCATCCTCTCGGCCCAACTGGCGAGTTGTCGAAGCCGCCAATCCGCCGTGTCCGAGTTGCCCACCTCGGCCTGAGCCCAGCTGAGGTACCCCGGATCGTGTTGAGCCACTTCCATGAAGCTCATGCCCTTGTACTTTCCAAAGTCGATCAGTGTCTCGTTGTTGCCGCTGTGGATCAACCATGACTTGAGCATCAAGCGCAGCTCCCCCGCCGTGGCCTTGGCCGGATGTTCGATCTGGCGGGCCTGGCACATTGAGCGTAGCTCGCCCAGTTTTGCATTGTTGATCTCCTTGACAAGGTTGTTGGGAGCCCCCTTTGGCTTGATGATTCCCTGAGCTTCGCGAGACTCGCGAACCAGCATCCGGCATTCCGGAAGTGTGAACTCCGTCCATGCAATGCGCTTCTGACCATTGGCCTCGAGTTCCTGGGTGCATTCCGTCTTGCTCAGCAAGTAATGTGGCTTCATGGACTTGTCCGGCCACATGGTCACCTGAGCCGCGGTTGCTTCCTGGGTGGTTGCCATGAGGACAAGCGTCAACGACAACGGGAGTGTGGTCACCGGTTTGGACACGTGAATCAGATGGCTGCGGGGACGTGTGGACATGCGATCTTTCATCCTGGCATTCGACGACCGAGCCTAACCTCACATCATGCTCATGAGTTTCACCAGTATCACCAACCTGTTTGGTTTCTTGGTTCACAGAAGTGGTTTCGGGCAAAATCAGCGTTCCTGTCTCTTTATCCTCACACTCAGACCCAGGGCGATCTGAGCTGAGTCTGCACCCCTATTCGGTGCTTCCTACGAGCTGGCGAAGACTCATCACACGATTGGCGAGAGTCATGCCACTTTCCAAAAAGTCCTGTGTCAATGGGATCAGTTGATGTCCCGTGGTAGAACGCTTGAGCTTCACTAAGGTACGGTCGCTGACCGCCGTGAACACCGCCTCATCGGTGCGAAAATCAATGATGGCGCCCAACTTGCGTAGTGTCGCGACTGACACGAGGATCGGAGCACTTCCCTGATCCAGGGCGTGCACCTTTAAAGACATTTGTTGGGCTTCCGTGGGAACATGTACATAACATGTTGACACACATTGACTACGCTCACTGTTGCCGAAACCAAACGTAGGTCGTTCTGACATGTCCACTCGCAGGACCCCTGGCAGGTTGAGGCGCCGGGCTTTATCCTGCAGCTGTTCGATGGCGTTCACGGAAGCCATCGTCTTTGTGGCGCCACCATCAAGGACACCATACCCTTCTCGCAAGACTTGATCACCCGGAATCAAGTCGGGTGAAGCTTCCTCCAGGTTGGTCCAGCAAAATGCTTCCGGTTTCACGCAGGCACTGTCAGGGAGGACCCCGTACACATACTCGGAGTGTTCAACGGCCTCATAGTTCTTGCCGTCCTCATTCTTCCTGGGGCAATGAGAGGTATCATGATCTTTTCCACAGCGAGCACACGGTCCTCCGGTTCTGGTTGAGCTCGTGGTGTTGTTTGGCCGTCGGTCCCCCATGCCTTTGCCCTTCCCCTTGGAGTAGCCCTTGCCACGATCTGCGGATGGCGCATAGAAGCGACGTCCCATCCGCACCTCATGCTGCTTGGCCCGAGCTTCGCGAAGGGTCACCCTCGCTTGCTGTAGTTGAGCCCAGGCCTCATGTTCTTCATGTTTAGCCTGTTGGTACAGGGCTAAAGCATCCTCGGGGAGGTCCTCGTAGAAGCTGGTGTCTTCTTCCCATGGCTCCGTCTCATCTTCTTCATTTTCATAGAGAGCCTGTTTGGCTTCTCCATCTCGCTTCTTGATGGTCTCATCAGTGAAGTGGCTCCGAAGGGCGACTTCAACGTTGGCGAGAGAGAAATTGTTCTTGACCTCGCTCTGAATCAGACTGCGCTCCATGCCGTCCAGGTTGGCCTTTTCCAGGAGAAGCCAACCCTTGATGACGTCCGGCAGGATCTCGACGAAATCTTCCTCATCATCTTCATCTTCTTCGGCGATGCTGGTATTGGACTGGAGGTTCCAGTTCCATGTGGTCTCCCACGTCGACCACCACCAAGCATCATCCCAGGTCCATTCGGTCTCATCCTGGGCTTCCTCACCATTGTCTTCAGTGGGCGTCGCCTCGGTGTCACCCTCGGTGGCAAGGTCCGATGAGCCCCCCCCTGTGGATGGCCTTGCCGTAGACACCGACTGTCTTCGTCCTGAGTGCCAGGCCTGGCTGGTCATGTCAGGAAGTGACTTTTGTTCTCGCATCACGCGAGTCAGGGCTTTGCAGGTCCGTGCGTACTCTTCCCGGTGTCTCACACAAAACGACACCATGGATTCGCCGCGGCGGCGCCGCAGCAGCTTGAAGTAGGTCTTGAGCTGGTTGGAGATCTCCGGAAGGGCTGGCTCGCTCATCGTCTCTTTCAAGCAGCGCAGAAGCTTGCCAACGCCATCCTGGGACGAAAGCCAGCCTCGCTTCTTGTTTGCTATTGCGGTGCGTGCCGCTCCAGTCAGCTCGGCTGCCAGCCTTGGACCACATAGGTAGCGACTTTCCCACTTCACCGTCTCCTCGTACATGTAGGCAGCCCTGCGGTACTCCGACCAAGTGGACGGAGTACCATCCCATGCAGGGATGCCATCTTTGGACTTCGTGACTGTCATTGGGCTCCTTCTCACTCACAACAGGTGCGCTTCAACGCACCCACACACACACCCTCAGGGCCCGATGCAGGCCCCCCTGGATCGCCGGCCTCGAGGAACTCAGCGCCTCGCCGCCCCACACCGCGCGTAACCGCAATGCAGAGCTCCGCTACCGTGCAGGACGCACGGCGGACACACCCTTTTCCACTGAACTAAGGGGGAGGCTTGTGCCATAGGTACCAATCGGAGAGTACTAGGGACACACAATCTATACAACTTGCATATATATATATTACATATTAATCAGCTTGATGGACACAATAATCGGACGACGGCATGTGAAGCTACTGACTGGGTCTCCGGTTCAACCCCGAAACAACCGCATCTAACTGAGGTTGGACATGGAAAACCTCAAAACTCATGAAAATGGGTTTGTCTTTGTGCAAGTCTAGTCTACAGTCTACGCCCTGAGATTACGCAAGTCTTCGCGCAACACAAGTCCACGCCCAACACAAGCAGTTAGGATAAAAATGTGTCTTGACCAACCCAACAGGATGCGATCCTGATTGGAGGACCACATCTCAAAGGCAACTGGGAGTCAACATCTATCAACAAATTCAAACTCCCTGGGAGTCAAAAACTACAAAAAGAATGGTTCTCACAATAAATAATGTGTGATCCTGAAGTCGGTCAATATATAGTCTTTGGACTGAACGTGGGCGCTGAACTTGGGTAGTGGATGATAGGGACTGCAACCACAGGCCTAAATCCATCTCAAAGAAAGCGTGATCATCCTGTACCGACTTGGGCTACGCACCCTACACTGACTGAACATCGGAAATTCTGCAAACATCATGTGATCCGTGATGATCCGCGGCTTCATGGTTTCAGCCAGACTCTACCACTGCGTCAATGCCAAGCCACTTGGTCTCCTCCAAGTTGTGCAACGAGGTCAGCCAGGTGACATCCGCACAAATCTGCAGCGCTCTCCGTTCAGTGCTCGACCAAACGACGTCAACGACAACGAATCCAAAAAACGGGGTCCCCCGTCAGAAGGATCGAGGCTGGGCGGAGGTCGCACCAGGTCGCACCTTTGGCGACCAAGTGACGAAGATTTACGACGATCGGAGGCCAGGATTGAAACTGCCCGGGCTGAATCCGCACAGGCTTCTTAATGGCAGGGGTCGGACCTGACACCGTTGCACGCAGGGGGAAAACGGGGCCGGTTCCCAAACCCTATCTGTTTTAGGGTGGCCTGAAATTCGGTCTTTGTCACACCTACATCCAGTGACGTGAATTGAACGCTGTGCTTTGAAACATGAACTTGCAGTCGTGGCCAACTGCACCGAACATCATAGCCGTGCAGTCCCAGCACTGGCAATGCAACTATCCATGCTGCAAGAAACTCTGATACCAGGAGACCCGTTCAGGGGTGCCAATTGGTGGCTACTGGGGTGTCTATCAACCACCCGTTAGGGCCTTAGGGTCCAAACAACACCCCTTTCGGTTTTTTTCGCTGGTAGAGGTTGCCATGATCCGTGCGATTGATGACCATCGCGTGAATTCGTCTTGCTAGAAGAAGTGGTGTGCATGGTGAGATCAAACACCTCTCACCAGTCGCAAAGTAAATCTCAGGTGGAGATGAACTCTTGCATCAACACTGGCATCAAACAACCACAACCACCAACTATTTTAAACAGGTGGATAAACATGGACAACTCAAGCAACTTGTTTGCACCCAATCGTGCCCAAGCAATCTCTCTGCCATCTTTCTACCATGTTGGACCCTGAGCAAGAAAGGGGAGGAATTAATAGCATGTTCTCATGTTTTCCTGACTGAAAGTACTCACAACCCCTGAATAGCTTATACATGGGGGGTCAAAATGATAAAGAGTTTATTCACCTGAAAGCGTGTATGATATAAGCTGTTGTGATAGAAGCTGTTGTGCTTTCTATGTCAGCTTCCCTTTAAGATCATTGCTTAACTTCTTCTGAGGTTTTGCATGGGTAGCTCTATTCCTGAAACTCTGATAACTGTTCAAGACACTTCTTCAAACTCATCAAACTCACTGCTTTAAACCATTTTTTAAGGACCATAGTACCCTCAATCATCGTTTGGGGCAAAAGGTTTATTATCGGTAGTTCTCCACTGAAACCACCCAATTTATAGAAACATGATTCATGGTTTGTCATATTATGGTGTCAAACGTAGCACACAGATTCGGAAAGATCCTAATTAAGTGATCTGCAGTTCTCCACTTTCCCTGCTCCGGTTCCGGTCCATCCAAAGGAACTGCTCCCCCACCGACCCTGGTGGTGCACTCGCCTTTGCCACGAACAGCTGTCCCAGTATTAAGAGGAACGCGTTGCACGCGCGCTCGATGGGCGAGACCAAGATGTCACCTTCGCGCTCGATGGTTTGGACGGTTTAGATCGGACGTTTCAGGGTGTGTTTCGGAAGAAGGTCCAGGGGCGGAAGAAGTGAACGAGTTCAGATGAGTTCGGTCCAGAAATGCCATGCTGCGGTTCATGGCGAAGTTGTTGACTGATAGGACACCAGAAGTTGAATATGTGAGGACAAAAGCATTGAGGAATTTTGATGGAATAAGTATGACTCGGACAGGGTAGGTCCCCTGCAAGGAGATGCGTGTGGCACCTGCGTGTCGCACCCGAAAAGTGTGAAGGCACTGAGTTCGACGGTGTCTGGTACTGATCAAGCTCAGGAACTCTCCACCCGCACAGACCCTGAACCCGCGGAACCCGACTCGGACCAACCTGAGACATCTGAAAAGACGACCCGTGACTAGTCCTGACTGGTCTGACCAGCAGGGGTTTTCTGTTGCTGGACTTCGGATAAAGGTCAGGCCACAGGCCGGGAGAAATCGATCAACATCAGCGATTCCACAAGTGCTTGCCATTGACAGGCGCGGAATCTGATGAAATCGACGGCTACTCACAACAGGTAAAAGGCTAGCAGTGGTTTTGAGGTTCTATTTGATTCTATGCTGCTACGATGCAAAATGTTCTGGATTCTTCAATTTTCCGCTGCTTTTGGGGTACATGGGAGGTTGGCCTGTCCCTCCTGACCTGTCTCCCCACGTCTGGCGCTCTAGAGTTGCCCCAAGCAGTCAAGCGGCCATAGCCCACGGACGTGATACCTGATCGAGGCGAGAGCCATCAGCACACCAGGTGTGCGAGACTTGTTGTCAACACGACAATCTACGGCAGGGTTTACCCATGGATGACCCTTCCCTAGGGCTCCAACCATCTCCTCAGGTTCGGTGGTTAGACCCCCTGGCACCCACCCCAACCATCTCCTCAGAAGGTGGGCCAGGAGCCCTAGGGCTTAAACAAAAAAACACTTATGTGCAAAACGTGATGGTCCTTCTTCTCGGTCTCAGCTCTCTTACTCTCTTCTCAGTGTGTTTTCAGCGCTCTTTTGGCTTTCTGTGACCGGTCTGGGGTTGAGCTCTGGGCTCCGGGCTTCACAGCTACACGTGAATATTAAACTAGCCCCCAAAGAAACGATCTGATCTGCTGGGGTAGTTTGGGGTAGAAAATGCATTGCCAACTTACGTCACAAAGCTGCTGAGACATGAACAGTCAGCTGTTGCCCAATCGATTTGTAAACCAAAGCATATTGGCATATTTAACAGTTTAACTGTTTAACTTAAACATAGCACAAACGTCCAGCAGTCTTCCCAATAAACGTCCGTCCCCCTTGAACCGTCCCCATCGCAGAGTCGTGATCTGAGTTGTTGAGTGAGTTCCGCAAACCATCGGTGGTGAAACGCAGGACCCAAAAGGACCCAAGAGGACCCAAGAGGACCCATGACACACTCTCCCATGGCCATCTCACTAAGGATCATGGCCTGGGAATCATTGCCCTGCACATGCGACGAATCCAACTCTAGGCACATGCGACATTGCTCACTGGCGCCGTCTTCACTTAAGAAGACCGATATTGATATAATTGACAGAATATTAATGTTCTTTTCTTGTCCAGTGGTGCTGGATGGACTTTGTAAGTGTTCTGACTCATATGTGCTGCCATTATGGCCAAATCCCTGCGAAGAAAAGCTGAATCACCTGCCGGGGAGCTGAGTGCGGTAAAGTACACCGATTCGATGTAGACCACTCCGCAGTCTTCGCCTCGATTCACCATGTCGTCGATCCAACCTGAGTGGATCAGGAAGGTTGGCTGTTTGGCTCCACTTGTGTGGAATATCATTGAATGTTTACCTGCATCGGAGTTGCTTTTAAAAATGCTTTGAGGGTGAATTGATGCTCCGTCAATTGATGCTCCACGGCATCATATGGCAATGTGACAATGCCTATAGGTCCTGTCTAGGATCTAGATCCTCCAACTGTGCACCATGTTCATCAATTTTCCACCGTTTCGCCTCTAAAACGAGCCAACCTTTGGCAGTTAAAAGAGGTGCATGGTGCAAAAAAACACCAACGGCCGCCGCTGTGAAAACCGCGGAAAGCACCGCAGCGCCGCTGATCGAAGCGCGTCTGACAGGCCCAGGGCACTCACCACGCCCGCAGCCCTCTCGTGGACTGCCAGGACCAGCAGCCTGAGGACCCAGGCGCCAGTAGTTCTCCAGGGTCGAAGAAAAATGAGTACAAGCCAAATGAGTGGATGCCAAGAAGAAGTACCAACCTCAGAGCCTTCTGTTTTGAGAGGATGTTTGTTTGGCCATATTTTGGATGGTTGGTTGGTCCAAAAATAGAGGCAGGTCTTAGGACTATAGAAGAGGGCGAGTATATGAGATACCCTCGCTCTCTCCTATAGAAGTGGACGTCCTGATGCTTGGAAAGGCCAGGTTGTGCACGTCCATGTTTGTTGCAGGGAGGGTGCAAAATGGTGCACACACAGTACAGCATCAACCAACACGTTCAACAATGAAATAAATCATGGCCATATCTGCACTGACCCCATTCATCCTCTGCTCTGTCGTACGACTGGAGGACTAAGAGTCAGCAAAGTGCAGGAACATCAGTTCTTTGTTCAAAAC